CATTGCAACAAAATCTTGGAATCACTGTCATTTCTCTCTCTTGGATCAGCGAACTCCTCGACGGCCTTGGGTTTAGCGAACCACATGGCATCGCTAGAAACTAAGCGACAAGGGGAGGAATCGCTCCTTCGTTGGCCACGATATTACGATGGACCCTGTCATTCTTCCCTTGTCGATGATCAACGGTATTACGATCCACGATGTTACGATATTTAAATATTTTTAATCCAAATGACAATATTTAATTAGACTTGTGGGACATGATTATGTGTCACATCATCGCATAGCATAATTTTTAACAAGATTCTGATGAAAAGATGTACATTAATTTGTGGCACTAATTTTCAAAGACTACATTGATCAATTTTTAATCTTAGGGACCATCCATATGAGTTGAGTCAATTTAGGGATCATTTGTAATAAAAATTCGTCAGATATTATCCCCTTCAAGGAGAAATTTTTCATTGTGACCGGAACACAGGTGATACACCACGTGTTTTCATATAAGTAGTGGTAAATTTTATTTTTTAAGTTACTAATTTTTTATGATACATATCTAACTATTCGTATAATAACACATAATGTATCATCCATGTTAATGCTACACGGACAGATCTCTCCCATTCAAGATAAGAAATTTCAGCAAAAAGGAACAAAAGACAAAGAAAACCAATGCAATCAATTGAACCAGAAGTTAAAACCCTTCCTATTTTTCCTTTCACCATGAAAACCCAATCCAAAAGCATCAACACTGACACTGATTCCTTCTGGAATTGGAAATCAAAGCCACTGCACAGGAACAAGCAGGACGACAATAGATTCTCGTTCACTGAAGTTTTCCACAGCAGCCCAAAAGCGGAGAGAAAGCTGGTGTTGGGGCCTGGAGGTGGTGCTGGAATCGGGTGCGGCGCTGGAGTTGGGTTTGGATTGGTGGGAGGGATGGGATATGGTGGTGGGTGCCCATGGAACCAAGTGAAGCTGGTGTTTGGGGTTGGTGTGGGTTGTGGGGTTGGATTAGGATTTGGGTTTGGGCAAGGAATTGGGTATGGATTTAGTCTGGAATCCCTGCTGGAGAGTTCAGATTCTGGCAAAGCGATTCAAATGTACCATAAATATTGATATTGTAAATTGTTTGAGTTTGATTTTAAATTTTGGATTTGTGGTTGTTTAGTTCGCTATCCTCATCTATGAATTTGCAGTAAGAATTTGGATGTCATTTGTCGGTATTTTGTTTCTTAGTTTCTATAAGAAAGAAAATAATGTTGAATACAATCTAATTTTGCAGTTTCTATAAAAGAGATCCAAATTTCCAAAATCCAAATTGATTACAGTTGAGAACTAGCACGATAAGCCACATGTATGTGTATTTTTGCTCGTGCCATGATCTACTTTACAATGACCATACATGAAGAACAAGGCAAAAATTATTAAGCTCCTTACGTAGGGATCCAGTTGTAAAGATAAATCTATCAATGACAGAAAGCTCATGGAGTTGTAAAGAAAGTGCATTGAGGGGGAGTGTTATCGGCCCCCTTAATACTAATCAAGAACGCATAAGGGCGTTTAGGTAGGTAGGGTGGCACAGCCCCCAACCAAAGGAGTGGTTACGTCTAGATGGAAAAATTTATCTGAAAAAGTTGTCAGAACGAGGCACAAATGGACCACTGTTTGTGCTTGCCTCTCCGACACAAATACACTATTGTGCTCTTTTAGCAATGGTAATGCCTAGGGCTGGCAAACGGGTCATGTATGTCGTGTTTGTGTTGTTTTCGTATAACATATGTTATCTTAACGGGTCGTGTCGTGTCACATCTGTTATCTTAATGGGTCCTTAACAGATCAAGGGTAAAGTGACCCAACCCATTATGACCCGTTATGAAAAATATTTTTTTTTCTTAAATTTGCACATATTACATATTGCCACATAAATATTACTTCAAAACATTAAAACACATTTGTCATTTAAGTACTACATCTACACTCGAAAATAAGAGACTAATAAAAAAGCATTCATACACTACTAGTCTATTACAAAATATTATATGTGCAAGGATATGCAAAATGAAAGAGTTTTTGTTTTCAAGGTTGTTAAGCTTTTCTCAAACGTTTAAACCTTGTCAATAGAACTCAAAGTTTGCATGTTAGAGTGAATGAGAGAGAAGAGAAGGATAGCCTCCAACCTAATGCACAATAGACGACTGAGATTAAATCTCAACCAATCCAATGGTCACCAATTTTTTAAATTTAATAATATATATATATATATATATATAATTATTATAGTTTTTAGGGGTATAAAATTGTTAAATTAATATAAATAATTATTCTAGTATTTTTTTTAGGGTTATAAAATTATTAAATTAGTATTTTGCTTATCGTGTATCGTGTTATCCACGTGTATATCTGAACCAACCCGTTATCTTAACAGGTGTTTATCGAGTTACCCAATAACGACCCGATTCATATCGTGTTGACCTGAACACTTATTAATTTTGTGTCATGTCGTGTCGGGTTATCAGGTCGTGTCAGGAATTGCCAGGCCTATAGTAACGTCCATAGAGGACACATATACAAACATAGTTGATGCACTGTTACTATTGGTCTATGAGTACAATTGTTGATGCTTTTTCGCCTCAAGGGGCACAAATAATTTATTGTGCGCAATGCTCGTATTTTTTGTAGTGCGATGATTAACTTGATCCTGCTTGTAATAGTTACAAGGCCGATTTTGGCTCGATGAACTTGCTTGTAATAGTTACAAGGCCGACTTTGGCTTGATAAACATATATGTTGATGATGTTCAGCTGATTGATTCCTCTTATGAAGTAATGTTCTCTTGTCAAACTCGATCTTAGCATCTAGTGAATTCAAAAGTGCCTCTAGTCGATTCTCTGACAAACTTTCGATGCCTTCATCCCATGTTGGGTACTTGGCCTCGTACATCTCCTTACGCGCTCGGTAGCTATCAACATAGACCTTTGTCTTTCGGTCCATCAATAGGTCAGATAAGCGAAACTTTTTCTTGGCTGGTTTGCTCATGGTGCTTGCCTTTTACTTATTCATTATGCGATTGACCTCATTCCGGTTTTCTGGCCATGTGTGGAGTTCAGGGGGCTGACCCGCAGTCTGTTTCGGGCCACATATGGTCATGCACACATCTAGTTCGAAGAGAGTTGAAAACTCGTAGGCCTTCTTCATAATTCCCTTCTCTTCTGAAATGTTATTTTTCGAGCTCGTTCATTGGCTATGAGTTCCATCTCCAGCCTTCCCCGACCCATATTCTTTTAGTGCTTCAAGAAGAATAAAACTTAGATTGTTTTAAGAGTAATGTTATTTATATCATGTTTTTATACCACATTTCTATACCATCTTAGATGGCATCTAATGTGAACAACCACATCATTTGAAAAATTTACAAAACCCAAGGAAAGAAACGAGAATGACTCCTCGTATACCACAATCATCATTTAATTAACTAGTTTTTTATTATTATTAGTTCATTAAATAATTAACTAAATTTAAAAATCTGATTAAATGGTTGTTCACCTCAAATGTTACCTAAGATGGTATAAAAATGTGATACAAAAACATGATATGAATAGCATTACTTTTGTTTTAAATAGAAATTGAGATTCAAAGAGTCCTATAATTTCATGAGTAACAGCTTTTGTTTGGCTAGTGACATTGACTCCCAAATTAGAATATTTTACTTGCACTTTAAAATATGGAGGGCATACACAAACTTTTAATAGAAAATAGAATGTGAAAACACTGAAGATAACAAGCCGTCTATGAACAATTTTTAATTTTCTTTACTGGTTACCTTCAATATATAAAGAGAGGATAATTGCTAGAGAAATTATATTTCTAAACTAAATTAGATTATCAATTAAGTGTTGATGAACGTATTTATTTTTTATTGGATTATCACTTTATAAACAAAACATGTTTATTATTACTTAAGTAAAATTAAAAAAAAAAATTAAAAAAAAAAAAAACCAAAAAAGCCAGGATACCTCTCCACCCAACCCAACCACGTCAGCCATAGGACTTCGTCGCTAGAACCTAATGGCGGACCCAGGATATAAATGTTTAGGGATCCCAGTGTTAAATACAAGTTTTTTAGATAGAAATAAATCTCGAAGAGCGCAATAAAAAAAATCAGTTTATTCACTTAGTGGGCTTGCTGTGCACATGTTAACAGATATCAAGCAATATGATGAGATATAGAGAAAATTTGTCGACGCAACATGTCCAGACATACCTAGCATGCATTGCATCAAACATTTAGTAAACACAAAAAGGGTTCGTATCAAACATTCGGAGGATTCTTGAAAGTCCTTCGTATGCATATTTTCCGAACTCAAATGATCCTGGGACTATCTCGGCCCCTATTTCCATCCGCCCCTGCCGACACCCCCTTTCGTCCTCACCGCCGAGCTATTGCATCTCCTCATCACACCACTTTCTCTTTCTTTCTTTTAAAGTTGACAGCATTAGATTAGAAGGTTAAGTGTTTGGATATGTGTAAAAATATTAGAACTGCGTTTTTCCTTTTCTTCTTCTTCTTCTTCTTCTTTTTTTTTTTTTTTTTTTTTTTTAACAAATAACAGGTACAGAAGATTTGTAGCTTCCCCTTAACCCTAACAATTATCGCTATGTGAAGGCAAGTTTCTCAAGATTGAACCTAAAAAATTTATAACTTATTACAATATGAAGTTTATTCTGATATATAAATGCCCCAAGTTGAGGCAAAAATTTTTTGACTAGATGAAGGTTGGTTTCGCTTAGAGAAGTTTTACTGTATTACATTATTCTTTGTTAATTTTCTCATTGAAGCAAAAACTTTTTTCCTTCAACGAGCAGAAAACAAGGACGATTCGAAACTCTCAAGCCGGTAAGAAGCTTGTATGCTTTTTCCTTATCATTAGATGCAATTTTCAGATAGATAACTTCTGTTGAACAAAAAACTTTTAATCCATTCATCATGCATGCGCAGGTGGAGCTTTAACTGGGGATATAGAATATAAACAGAATCCGTCAAGATTCGTAAAAACAAGCTTGGAAGCAAGGGCAGTGTTCCTGTCAGTTTGAATTGTGGCATTTCTCTACAAATATGTACACCGGCAGGAATAAGCTCCAAACGTCCGAGTAACCTTTGCATTCAAAACACACTTTTGAAGAGCTTGGAGGAAGAATCAACAAATGCACAAAACTATCTCCTTCCAGATTCTAAATCTTCCAATGCCGAACCAGAATCACGTGCTAATGTTAACCCCATACATCCATGGATGCTTGTTTCGTCTACCTGATTCCCAACCCGAGAATCTATGACCTGCACATTGCTCGCATTTACTGTGCTGGTAACCTGTGTCCCTGAACGTGACTCCTCCAACACCTGGAAGTAAGCATACGGGCCCCAACCTACAAATGGATGTATAGAAAATCAGATGCTATAAAAACACACCTTGAAAAATTACTAAAACAATTGGAAAGAAGGCCTATGTTAATTAGCACTGCTTCAATACATAACAGACAGGCATGCACTGCTTCAAGACAAAGCAGACAGGCATGTCCGACCAACGAAGAGCAAAACACTAATTTAGTGAAACAAGATCTATGTTAATTTGGTAGATACTGATGGAAATTCTCTTAAAACATCAAGCCAAATTAGAAATTTAGCATGAAGAAATTGGACTGTTGATTCCAAATTACACACATTACGTCACCCACTGTATTCTTTAACAAACGTCCACTAGCACAAGAGCGCGCGCATCAAAACAAATGCCAGAGAGAGATTATGTGCAAAATATTTCACGAGTCGTAGAGGACACAAAAGGAGCACCGTCATTGATAAGCAAAGAAAAAGTAGGACCAGACCATTGCAATTACAATAAACCAAGTTAGTCAACAAAGAAGAAACGCCACAAATATGATTCTGCGAAAATGTAACTTAATGTCACAACACCAAAAAAGCAACATCTCTACAAAATATTTCCCCGTGACAAAAACACCTATATAGAATTTGCTTGGTACCATACCTTGGGCATGATATGGGGGTGGAAAGAACTGCAAATAGCAAAATGTAGCAACCGTAAGCCCTGCAAAAATGATTCCCTGATTGTTACTTACAAGTCAGCTTCAGCAAGTCGCTTAGTTACCATTCATTATGACACAAACCTAGAAGACCTCCAGCAAATACATCTTGCCAGTGGTGCCAGTAGTCATCAACTCGAGAAATTCCGACAAGTGATGCAACAAGTAGTGGAAAAATAACAATGCAAAGTTTTGCAACATGGCCTTTGCGATCAAATACTTGTATTTTTCCTGACAAATACAGAGAGAGAAATCCAAGACCAGCAAAGGACCCTGCATATTGAATCCAAATTTCCTCGATGTTAAAAAGTCTGCAAGAGATTGAGGTAAATATAGTGCTTGTATGACATTACCAACGAAGTTGTTTGCATGTAAATTATATTCAGTGAATACCAGACACTGCAGTGCTGCTTACATGAAGTATGGCCACTTGGAAAACTCTTGTGCCCCTCCTTTATAACACTCTTCACACCATCGCATACAACATTTCCCCATTTATCATACACCTGAGGAAAAACTAGTTATTAACTTCGACTTCCAATGGAATCATGTATGAATAATCTAAAAGAACACTGCCCTCGAATTACAATCCAAAACAACTGTGAATCAAGAATGCCGTACATCCTTCCCATCTGGAAAACAGCGCCAAAAGAAGTCTGGTCGGGGTCGACCAACTGCATCTTTTATAGCATCTGTAAGAACCCCTGTTATCAGGACAGAGAACAATAGACCTGCAGTAACAACTTTTAACTGTCAGGTCCTGTCATTTTATTATATTTCTTCAGTAAATGTGGTATCTATTTAAATATTCTTTGTAAAATCAATAGTCGAAAAACTGATCACCTAGTATGGCATGGTGAAGGTCATAGACATCTCTCCTGCGGAAATAGACAACAACAAAAATTGCTATGGGCAGTGCAACTGCATACATCTAAGCATCCAAGGAGAGGAGCCGAGAGAGGGAGGCGTTACAAATCACATCTATTCAGAATTCAAGTAATGTATTTGTAAACATGGTCTCATTGGATTAGAACAGAATGGTAACAACTTACAGGGACAGCCCAAACAGGTACTGTGTTACTTATCAAGGGATATTTAAGATCAGCCATCATGTCTTTTCCTACGAAGCGATAAAATGGATGAATCACATTAAGGATGACAACTATCAACCCAAGAAGCATCAGTATCACCCAATCATGCATGTGTGTCCGTGCAAGTGTCACTCCATGGGACCTTATGGTATGTGAACCAAGCTGAACTTCCTGCATTTTGTTCTGCTCATGAAAATAGACATCAGATGTGTACTCCTTACAGTGTGTCGGCATAACAAAAAGACATCGATGGCCATGAAAAAAGAAAGACAATTCCAAGAAAATACTTTTTATCACATTTTATATAAAAGAACTACCAAATACTTTATCAGTTAACCAAATAGTAATAGTAGTACTAGATACGTCCAGTATAGACATGTTTTCACAAAATAACAGCATTGCAAGAAAAAATTGTAATAAGCTACAATAAAAGGCAAGTAAAAGAAAATAATTATAGGACCCACAATAAACACAAAGAAAAGGACACTGATACGGAAGAGAGGACAAATCAAGAAGGTGAGTATGCGTGCAATAAAGGTGAATGGTAATTTGGAATAACAGCCATAGGAAATAGCCAAAACATTATGAATAACCATTGAGTGAGCTGTGTTGCATAAGTTGGTAAATTCTTCAACAAAATGCAATTGTAACCCGCAATCATGACAAGCAATCTCTATGTAAGCATGACCATCCGGCAAGGTCTGTCAGAATCCAGAGACAGAAATATATGCACTAGATGCTTGTCTCGTTAAATAGTATGGGCTGCTTTTGCTGATATTGCATCTTATAAATGCTTAAGAAATTATTAGATCAATAACCAATACCAGACATATGAAGGAAAAGTTATATTCAGCGTTAGATACAATTTATGTCCGATTATTGTTTGGTTCAACTTTTCATGTGTGACAAGAAAAGTACTACCTTATGATTTGAAGAATTTTTTTTTTCATAAAAAGATTTCTGTATTGGACACCTTAGATCGCAACACTTGTATCTAATCATTTTGGTCAACCATTTGGATGTTCACAGAGAAATATTTAGTTATTTTCTTTCTGTTACAAAGGTAAGTAAAGAAGAAGTTTGGCTAACAACTATGCTATGGCTTTTTACCAGCCATACAGATCTGCATTAATTCAAAAAGTACAGATAAAAATGAGCATGCCCTTGTGTTTGAACATTTAGATGTATGAGACCCCCTATGTCTGTGTCAGGGCATGCTATTTACATCTGTCTGCATAAGTGATGAGGTCCCAGCATATCATTTGGTACATCAACGTTCATATAAATATTACTTGTGACACCAAATTAGAACACAGTGATGTTGAAGGACTACGGGGCCTATTATTTGAGCTGAGAGACCAAACTGTAACTCAAGAATAGGTTCAGGGAGCATTGATACAAACAAGAATACTTTTCTGTCAAATCGGTTGGCCGAAATGGCACATGCTAGATAGGTAGAAGGGTGAAAATCTAATTCTCTGATTTTTAGCTCTCTGCTATTGCTGATGATGTTCAGAGCAAGCAAAGGGGATTTCATCTAGAAATTGGGTATTTTTGAAAGGAAAATTTAGAAATTTAGGATTTTTTTTGAAATTTTAAAAGGGAAGGAATGGCTGAAACATATTGTTAAATTACACCTTTACTCTTCCATATGACCAAAAACCAAGTTGACAGAACTTGGTACTTCGGAATATGTCACAAACATCACTAACTATTGTTCAAATTGAAACTACAGGAATAAAAATGAAACTAGGATTGTACTACATGGACCAAAAGTATAATTTAGCCTTTACATATTAATGGACAAAACTCTAATTATATTAGCCTAAGATAGAGACCGTGCTCATTTCTCCATGAATTCAACAAAAGAAAAGAAATACCTCATCCTCCCTGTGTTCCATCAATGGTAAGTGAATGGGTGTGAACAAATCAGTATTAACCGCAGAAATCTCCGGCTTCTTGCTTGACACACCCTAGATAACCCCAAAAAAAAAAAAAAAAAAAAAAAAAAATCAATCTTCAGGGGTTAAATTCACGAAGGGCACCAGATTCATTAGACTTAATCACAAATTCATAATTTTGGGTTTATTACTCCACGCCAGTTGTATGTATACCATTAACTGGATTTAAACTTTGTAGATTCTAGGCCTGAAGCTTTTATGGAATCAGCAGAGCAAAATTGCCAGTAACCCTAACTACATATTAACTGTACACCTTCCTACAATATCCCTCTATCACCTAGACAAACATTATGAAACCTAAATATGGATTCATTTATTAAGAACGTAAATGTTTGAATCATGTGTCATGTGTGACTTCGTTTGTGTGTGACGAGAGATATGATAGTACAAGCTCACACTCTTTGGTTCAACCGAATCACCCAACATTTTATCTACTGGTGGATGCACTTTAGGAAAACCAATAATCTATGTTGACCCAAACAATAAAACTATACAAAGTAATAAATCTATGGTCCATATATCAGTATCTTTAGATCCTAAGCTTCTAAAAAATTTATCTTCGACTAAAATTCCAATCACTAACTGATGGTGCCAACACAGGGCACACCAAACAGTATACCAACATGTTATCTTGCTGGAATCTAGTGTGCAATATCAGAGGCACAAAAAGTACTGCTCCAAAGGGTGAAGGGAAACAGAACAAAAAATTGATTGATAAGAAGTTCCTTTGAACAGCTGAAGGAGTCAGAAGACACGGCAAAAACAATCTTCTCAAGCATACACAAAGAACATAAGGAATGAGGATGCAGTTCACAACAACATTTACGAAGCAGCTTCCCAGGCTTCAAAAATCCAACACACCAACCTTACATAAAAAAACCGAACGTACAACATTTAGTAAATCTAGCCCCACAAATGAGATGGAGGAGTGAAAAAGTAAGAGCCTGTTTGGTATGCTTCTTGGATTCAATTTTATTTTGTTTTTGAAACGAATGAGTACTACTACTAAGTATTTAGTTGCGTTCTTCATTTTTGAAAATTATAAATCACTTTCAAACTGAATACCAAACAGCCCCTCAATGATTTTGGTTAGTGAATCTAGACTTTTTGACTTCGAAGAAGATAACGGGAGAGGTGAGGAAGAGATCCTAGTAAAACTAGTCCGACTATACAATCATTTCCTTGTTTTCTTCTCCTTTTCTGTTGGGTTTAGATGATAACTCTAATAGACTAAATCGTTCTATCAGCCAACAATAAGTATCCATGACTGTCTCATATCTAGGCTTAAACCCGATTTCATGTCAAGCAGTAATGATTCTCATGAACAAGAACAATTCAAGATTCTACAATTTTAGGAAAAAATCAAGTTTCTAATATCCAAAACTCTCAAGATTCTAAATTTCTTCAACTTTTGTCTCCAAAATCAACCTTTTTTCTTTTGCATCTATTAACAGCTATATGGTACAAAGATGGCACAAACCCATCACCGCAGATACATACATACATACGTACATATATAATTGCATAAACTGAAGCATCACACAGTAACTTGAGGCAAAACAAGAAATCATCCAAAACGACAGTGAATTACAACAAAAAGGGCCAAAAACCACCTGGAATTTGCCCACTTGCTTCCGAAATATGCATCGGATATTACAAGCTTAAATCTAGTAAAATACGCAGAAAGAAGAGAAACCCACTGACCTGAAAGACGACGCCACTCAAGTTTTTGAGACGAGAAAGCAATCCAATATCCCACCAAGGCATTGTACCAAACTTAACCAAGAGCTTCGATACAATACCGACTGTTTCTGGTTTCAGAATTTATTCGTGGAATGAAATGCGGCCGCGATAGCGACAGTGGCTGTGGCACTGTTGACTTATTCCGGGTGGGAAACTTCCTAATTTTGTCTACTCTCTAGAGTGGTTCATCTCAACAAAATTAAAAAACAAAATAACCTAAATAAGCAAAAGGAGTTTTAATCAAAAGTTAATCTCCCAACATTTTATTCACACAAAAAAATTATCTATTAACTCTATTTAATAAAAATACTTTAAACTTTAACGAAAAGAATTTTTTTTTAATAACAAACGATATTATCTAAACTAAGTAATTAAGGGAGTAAGCCAAGTCTTAGAAAGGGTTAGCAATATGTGGTTCAAATTCGCTTTTGGCGAGAATCGAACCTAAAACCTTTCAAATGAAGAAGAACATCACTAAACCTTAGTACTAAGTAGCCAATGAAGAGAACTTAAACTTTAATAAAAATGACTTAAATTTTAGTGGAAATGACAAAAAGCCCCATCACACTCTTTCTCCTTCACTGCACCAATTTTCACCTTCCCTATTCTTAACTCTATTTCTCTTTAATTTGAATCACATCATTATATAGATAATATCGTTTGTTAAAAATAAAAAATAAAATAAAAAAAAACTTTATTTCTCTCTCTTTCTTCTCTTTCACCTATCCCCATCAACTTTCTTTCTCCACTCCTCACCCTTTCACATAAACTTTCTCTCATCCCTCTCCTCCCTATCCTTTCACCTCACCTCATTCTCTCATGTCACTCTTCTATCACTCAATAAACAATGTACTTCCTATTTTTTGTTTTATGCTTTCGATTTTTTTAGAACAAATTAAGTAATAATATTTCAAAATAAAAAATGAAGTTTGCTTATTGTAATATCCAAAATTGTGATTTAATTTTAGTTTGGACAAAATTTTAAGTTTGTGTCATGTCATATAATTATTTTTAGAAGTAAACATTGATTATTTCTATAATTGAATAATGATTATTTTTAAACCTGAACACTAACTATTGTTGTAACTAAATACAGATACTATCACCATTTCTTAAATTAAACATTGTACTATCATTATTTCTTAAACTAAACACATATATTTCTTAAACTGAACATTAGTATTGTCACTATTTTTTTTAAAACTATACATTAATTATTTCAATAACTAAACACTGGTATTATCACCATCTCTTAAACTATACACTCATACTATTATTATTTCTTAAATTGAACATTGACTATTTCTTAAATCCCCATTAAAAAACCACCTTTTTTATGCTTGGTTAGTTACGTCCCCCGTCGAAGCAGTGAAATGTGCAGGAATGTTCTTGATTCGATAGTACCCAAAAATCATTACATTCCAAGTTACAACATCCTTCTCGTCAATCATAGCAAAAATTACACGTGCCACATCGATTAGACCTCAAACATAACACATATGCACCAATGCCTAGAAGAATTATGCTCTAAACGGAATTATATATATAGCAAGAAAGCAAAAAGTAGGCTGATCTTATAACAGAAGTGTCAAAAAGAAAGCTTTTAGGGAGGGTGAGCAAGTCTGGAAGGCCCTCGGCTCACACATAAGATTAAGAGGTTTGGGATATGGAGTTCTTGGAAGGTCCATTTGTTATTCGCCAAGTGCTAGGAAATGGGAATGGGGGGCATATCAGTTAAAGTACAGAGGTGGAGAAATTCAGAAAAATCTTTTCAATAGAAATTTCTTTTAAGAAATTCCAGCCAACTCTTTGGGATGCCAGAAATGTGGTGTTATTATGTAACTTGGAGCCTAGAAAAGGCATAGAATTGGTTATAATATCATGCAATAAAAACAAAAATCATATGGCGTGGGTTGGTGCAGTATATTTATGAGTTTACAAAACTGCATACGCTTTTGTTATATTTTTTATTGGTAAATTACACAAAACTATCTCAATTATGAGTCGAACGACACTATCATACTTCATCTTTTAAAAATGACAATGTCATATCTCAACTTACGAATTTGTTTCAATGTCAGACCTCCGTCAAATTTTCTGTTAAATGCTGACGTGACTATAGGCGGGGCCCACTCATTAATCCAACCGGATTAAAAAATAATTAAATATTAAAAAATTAAAAATAAAATTATTTTTTTATATATAATTGTGGGATCCACCTCTACAAACCCTTCCCTACCCGTCTCCCCAACCTTCCTTCACCACCAAAACCAGAACCCACTTCCCCATTGCTGCCCTCACCTGTCAATCACCCTCTTCGATGCCAAGGAGGCCGACGATGGCTTCACCCGTAACTCCTCGAGTTGGTCCATGTTCATGTACAACACCCTACTCGTTCGCATCCTTTAGAACCAAGCTGGTCCATGTTCATGTGCAGCGGCGTCAACCATGACAGCGTTGTTGGTGGCGCACAACCCATCGTGGGTGACGAAGGAGGCGCCAAGGATGACACTAGAGCCAAAATCGGCCCTCAACATGAGCAGAAAAGTTAAAATAAATAAAAAAACCTCAGTTCGTCTTCCCCACCCCTTTCTCCCCACCTGAGCCCATTCCTAAATCAGACACACCCCTTCTCCCCACCCCCTTCTGCTTACCTGAGCCCACCCCTAAATCAGAGACACTCCCTCTCTCTCTAGTCCCTAGCCCCAAATCAGAGACACTCGTTCTCTCTCTCTCTCTCTCTCTCTCTCTCTCTCTCTCTCTCTCTCTCTCTCTCTCTCTCTCTCTCTCTAATCCCTGCACCATCTGGATGGGAAGGATGAGGTCGAAGTCGAATATGGCCAACTCCTCCGCCAGGGACAGTGATGCCAAGGCCAGTGAGGCAGCGGTGACGATGATAGAAAGGGAGGAGGAAAGGGATACCAATTGGGGCTCTATGAGCTTCGGGAGGTTTTATGGGATTTTGGGTTTTGAGATTTGTAATGGGATTTTGGATTTTGGATTTTGGAATTTTGGAGATGCAGATTGCAAGTTGCCTAGAGAAAGAGGAGAGAGAAAGAGTGGTGGAGGAAGGTTGGGGGGACGAGTTGGGAAGGGTTTGTAGAGGTGGATCCCACAATTTTATATAAAAAATAATTTTAATTTTAATTTTTTTAATATTTAATTATTAAAAAATATATATTTAATTTTTTTTAATCCAGTTGGATTAGTGAGTGGGCCCCGTCTCTAACCACATCAGCATTTAACAAAGAAATTAACAGAAAAACTGACAGATGTCCGACATTGGAACAAATTCGTAAGATGAGGTATAACATTGTCATTTTTAAAAGATGAGATATGACATTATCATTGAATAAAGTTATTAGATGACTTTTGGTAAAAATTCAAAGTTTTGAAGTCCTTTTTATTAGTTTTTCTAAATAAAATCATGGAGAAAGTAGGAAATCACGCGCAAAATAGTTTTACTACTTTTTTTCACCACCATAACTAGGTAACCTTATTTTTTTCTCTCATTTGCCTCTCTCTCCCACATTTTTCTTCCATTGCTCTCGTTATCTTGCAAAAGAACAGAGAATTGGATGGGGATCTCAATCATAGAATACAAGATGGATGAATGAAGTGGAAGAGTGCATCCGGTGTGTTGTGGGACCGTCTGTGACAGCCCGTCCCAGGAATGTTAAAGCGTACGTGTGAAAAGACAGTTTTGCCCCTAGTTCATTCCTTTACGTTTATTGGTTGTTTTTGAGTTTTGGTTGGCATGTTTGGAGCCACACACACCTTCCCACACACCACAGCCTTTTCCTCCTGTTTCCTGCACCTGTCCCGAGCCCCATTCCCCTTCCATTTCCTTTAACACGTACAGACACACCCATAACCCTATCAAACCTTCACAGATCGTGGAATCCAAGGCCATATTCAAGTTCGTGAGGCTTGTAGGAGTCTAACTATACCATTTTCAGGTAAGAACACCATCGTTTTCACGTCGAATCCACAATGTCCGATTTCGAGTACTGTTCATGCACACGTGATTTCTCACGTTTTAGGGAATTTCAAGCTTGTAGGTAGCTTGGTGAGGTCCCTAGGAGGCTCGGGGTGGTTCGTTTGAAGGATTGGGACGTCGGGAACACTAGTTTCGAAGTTGGCCGGAGTTGGGTTGAATTTTCAGGTGAGATTTCATGGTTTTTAACCCTTGAAAGTAGTATGATTGTGTTCCTCTAGTTCTAAGCTTCATTTTGGTACCAATTTTGTGAAATTTGGATGAAAAACGAAGAAGATATTGAAGTTTGAATTTTTCCCGATTTTCCGGCGCCGAAGGCTCGCCGGAGAAGACGACGGAATATTCCGTCAAGTCTGACAGAATATTCCTGATACCGTTGACAGAATTTGTTAAATCTGACCGAATATTCCCTACGGCGTCAGTTGACGCCGTTAGCGTGGCCGGCGCGTGTGGCCGTGCCTTGGCCGACGCGTGGGGGTGCGTGCGGCGGTGAAAAATTATTTTAAAAATATGGGGATGTTCCTGAGGTTGAGTAGATCACGTTGCTGTATTCATACACCCTATTTGAGCAATGTATGAGAAGTTATTTCTAAAGGTTGGTTATGTGATTTAAAATTAACGTTTTTGTAGTTATTTCGCATATAGGTGAGACGTATCCCGAGGACGAGCGTGGTCACTCGAGGCAGGGGGTTACGACCCTTCCACTTACCAGTGAGTGGGTTTTTGGTTTTCCGTATATACCTATATACTTATATTTTCCCAAAAATTGATTTGAATTGTCATTTGCCATATGCCATGCATTAAATTATCGTTATTTATGCATTGTTAGTTACATTGTTAGTTGTATATATATACTTATGCATGTTGGGTGCTGTGGATGCACAGGTAAGTGACAGGTAAGTGTTATTTATGTTTACATTCAGTAATGATTCAAGATGCTTAGAGAGCTCATAACCTGCACCCCCGGTGTTAGCGCTCCCGCCCAGAGTAGGGCACAGTCCTTCACGTGTTGTTCACCTCCCGCACCACACGCTCAGCTTGGATCCAAGTTAGGTGCACAGTCCTGTCGTACAGACCACTTTAGGTGGTTCCGACTCGTAGGTGACCCGCGATTATTCACACAGCCTTCACGTGATCGTAGCACTAGAGCGTTTACATGTATTACACCCAGGCCTGTCGTACGGACCACTTTA